TATTTTATTCTTAATTTTAAAATATATTATGTTTTGTTTATTTGATTTATTATCATTTTATTATTTATTTTATATGTTTATGTTATTTCATTTTATTGTATTTATTTTATTTTATTTATTCTTATTTTTATTTTCATTTGATATTATTTTGTTATTTTATATGTTAAATTGTTTATAATTATATTATTATATTATTTATTAATATATTCTATTTATATTTATATTTTATATTATTATTGTTGTATAATTATTTGATTATAATTTAATGAAATGATTTAAATTAATATAAATGAATGTAAATATATATTAAATAATTTTATATTTTATTATTTTATTTATTTATCATTCTTCATTATTTGATATATTATTTTATTCATTGTTAATTTATGATTTGAATATTATATTTATTTATCATTTAATTTATCATATTTTATTAATTATTGAAATATTATATAAATATTTTATTATTTAATTTAATTTATCAATTAATACATTCATTTATTTATGTTTTATTCATTATATTATTATTTATATTATTTCTTATTTAAATAATCATTTTAAATATAAAATAATAATAAAAATAAAGAAAGAAAAGAATAAATTAGGAATGAATAAAAATAAAATAATAGAATAAATGAATTCATAATTATTTATCATTAATTATATCATTAATTATATTATCATTTATTATAAATATATTGATTATTCATTTATTATTATATTTATTATCTTTTATCATATTTTATTATTATATTATTAAATAAAAATAAAATATAAAATGAAATAATGAATAAAATATAAAATAAAATGAAATATTTAATAATTATGAATTTATTAAAAATAAAAATAATTATCATTTTATTTTATTTCTTATTATTTATTGTTTTTCATAACAAATATCAATTAATAAAAATAGAATGATGATAAAATAATAAAAAAGAAGAAATTAAAATATAAAAATAAAAGAACTAATAAAAACAACTAATAAATAATAAATCAATAATGAAATTAGGATATAATGAAATAATGATAACATCAAAGTATTTTAATGATATTAAAGATTTTATTAATTTAGAAATAGGAATTAAAAGATTTAGAGGAAATATAGAACGATTTCATTTTAATCCAATTCCATTAAATGAATATTCAAGAAAATTGTTTACTAATATTGAAACATTTCATATTTATAATGAAGATGATAAAATATTTAAAGATGGAAAAATATTTAAAAAATAATATGGTATTTTGTAAATTATTCAAAATATTTACAAGAAAAAGAACAAGGAAATATCTGTAAAAATATAAAATATACAGAAGAAGATAGAAATATATATGGAAATACAATACCATCAGAAGTTAAATCACTTAGGTATATTGTTTTTATAAATGTTATTCATTAAAATCAATTAATATACCAACATCAATTATTAAATTAGGAGATTATTGTTTTTATAAATGTACATCATTAACAACAATTAATATACCGTCATCAGTTAGTACAATAGGAGATGGTTGTTTTTATAGATGTTCAACACTAAAATCAATTAATATACATTCATCAGTAAGTAAAATAGGAAATGGTTGTTTTTTTGAATGCACATCATTAACATCAATGAGTATAGATAATTTACAATTTGTCAGTAAAGAAAGAATATTTATAAATGAACCAGTGTTAATTAGTATTAAAATACCAGAAAATCTAGAAATAATCAATGGAAAGAATATTGAAAAGAAAGACATTAATGAATTTATTATTCCATCTTCAATTACTAAATTATGTGATCATTGTTTTAGTGAATGTGAATCACTACAATCAATTAACATACCGTCATCTGTTAGTGAACTTGGAGATTATTGTTTTGATTGTTGTTTTTCTGGATGTTCATCATTAACATCTGTCATTATACCAACATCTATTAGTAAAATAGGATGCAATTGTTTTTATAAATGTTCATTGTTAACATTAATTAATATCCCACCATCAATTACAGCATTTGGAACAGCATGTTTTTATAAATGTGGATGTGAAGAAATGTTAAAACAGAATAAAACAATACCAGAAAATTGCTTTCAACCATATTGGAGAAGAGATAAAGAAATAAGATAATTGAATTAATAAGAATAAAAAGTATTTTAATTGTATAATTTAATTGATATAAAATACATAATAAACAATTCATTTGATAATAAAATATTCATTACAATTTACTTAATGTTTTGTATTTTATCATGTTAGGAAGTGAGATAATCAGTTTCTTTAATATTCTTTATTTTCATTGAATTATTATCTTTTAAATGAAGAATCATTTAAGTTGTGTTTTGTGTTTTAATTTAAAGTTAATGAATGTTGAAATTGGTTATTTATAATATCATTTTAAGAAGAATATATCAATAACATCATGACTATGTTTCATCTTCTTTAGTATTAACAATTTGAGTAGAATTCTTCTTTATCTTAACAACACACCTTATTCAACTTTAATCTTTCATTAATAAATATACTTCCATCCAACAAATGAATAACATTAACATCCTAATGAATAACAACTCCTTAATAATCATTCATACTAATTCTTAATAAATAAATACCATCAACATTCTTAAATGAGGTGTTGTTTCACTAAATATAATGCAATGACTAGACAATATTTGGTTTGACTCTTGGATTCATTTTATGGTTGTGTGTTGTGGTTCTGAAATGATATTTTAAACCAAATGAAAAAATTGAAAAAATAAAACTTACAATTAAATTTCAATATAACTTGAATTTTCTATTTCATTTTATTTATTTGAAATTATTTCATTCTCTTGAATGTATTGTTCATGAGATACTTCTATATCTCTCTATTCTCCTTCATGATTTCTACATTATTTTATATTGTTTTATAATACATTGTTCATTGATTATTCTTATTAATTCTTTGTTAATCGTTATTATTGATATTATTTTTATTTTGTATTTTATTTGAATTATTTTATCTTAGTGATTTCTATCAATTTCATTTTATTGAAGAATAATTTCATTTCATTCTCTATTTTATTATCATTCATTATATTTATTTTACATTTTAATTTAGTTATTCTTAACACATGTTCATCATTAAATCATGTTTATCAACTTGTATATTCTTATTTACATTATAATTTAGTAACATATTCAAATGGTAATATTTTATCATTACAAATATTACATCATTTTAATTTATCATTTCATATAATTCTTAATTTGTTAATTCATACAATACCAATTTCTTGTATTAATTTCAATTAATTATATTCATTTCATTTTATAGTAATACATCATTATTTTAATTGATAATTTCATATCATTTCATATTCATATTTATTGTATTTTATTAAATGAGCACTTACATTAATTAACTTCCATTTATTAATATATTTCATTATATTTATTACTTAAATATTTTATTATTATATATGGACTCTTCTTATTTTTATATGGAAATATTTCATTAAATTTATTTTTATTATTTCTCTTACCATATGCTTTGTAGAATCTCTTTTAATTTCAATTCTTATTCATTTTTTTTCATTTCACAGATTTCATTCTCTTATTCCATTCATAATAATTATTTGCTCTAATTAATTCCAATGCATATTCATCTCTTAATATCATATATTTCATCATCGTGATATTATATATTTTTATATTCTTTATTTATCTTATTTATTCTCATAATGAAAATGATTAAACACTCTGTTTGAAATATATAATTGTGTTTATAGTAATTGAATTCTTATGTTATAAATATATTTATTTGAGAATGTATTATGGTGTTTATAATTATAATGATAAATAGTAA